TTTCGCAGCGACCGAATAAAATGCCGAGCCCATAAATCATGAATGCTCCGGAGCCACACAAAAATAGAAAACAAACGGCTACTTCTGATTGCGTGTGGTCAGTGCGGACTGGGCGACGGACGACGAGGCACAACAATGCGTAAGCGTACATTTCCATTATTATATAAAACAAAAACAAAAACAATTCAAATAATTTAACGCATTTCAATATAAATTTATTCATACACACGTCGCGTATCTTTGTATTTTTATACATAGGTATGTATATACGAGTATAAGATTATGTATGTTTATGTATGTGCTTATTTATAATGCATATTATCACATGGACCCAAATGAGCGCGAGAATTTTTCATTTAAATGAATGAGAAATAAAACAAACGGGCAAATAGGAAAACCAAAACAGAACGCCAACTGCATTCCAGTTAAAATATCGCATTTATTTTCAAAAACAAAAACAAACGCACTGAAAACGAAGGCAAGAACAGCAACAGCACCAGCACACTGAAAAACAAGCGACAAACAAAAAATTCAAAGTAATTATAATAAAAAGCTCGCCGTACATTGTATGCTGATATTACAACAAAAGAGAGGGTGTATGTGCACTAAAACAACAACAAGAACAATAAATAATGAAATTGCCGATTGACCCACTGCCACTGACGTCCACCTCAACACCCCGCCGACAAATTCTGGGGAGCGACAAGTGCGCGCAACTCAAATGAGCGGTCAGCGTTTGCACACACCGTTACAATTGAATACAAAAATGTGCGTGTATTGCCAAAAGGGTGTTTCAATAGTAGCAATTTTCCCAGGAAATATATAACACCCAGGAGGAAACGGAAACCTTATAAAATGCAATATAGATGATCAAGGTGAAGAGCTGTGTCGATTTACCCATGTCGCTCAGTTTATGAGGTATCGAACTGAAATTTTGCACACGTTCTTTGCACCCCAATAAGCTGCGCATTTGTAGGAACCGCCAATACTGGACTAATCTGGCATCTAGCTGTCATACAAACTAAATGATCGGGTTAGAGTGTTTGCGTGCAAAACTTTTCCATTTCATCAGATATCTTCAAGAAATTTGGCGTGAATTATAAGGAATTGATTCAATATAACTACTATACACACTGATCAATAAAAACAAAGTTCTTGTAAATTCTCGGTTGTATTTCCGAATATAGCTTCGGCTTTTTTGATACTAAATATGTACACACAACAATCGTAGAAATCGTTAGTAGTCAAAAACTTTGCACAATATTGTGTTATGTTACAACATTATGTACAAGTAGTATAAACAGGATCTTGGGTGCGCCTAAAATATTATAGATGGGACTGCTAATAAAAGTATATATACTTTACATCATATTCAAGACATTTACATGGACTCGAGTATTTACACGAGTATGCTCAGTAAGAATTTTTTGGCGCAGTGACTCCAATTACGAAATACACAAATTGTTGTGGATCGAAGAAAAATTCATTAATATTTTTAAGAGCAGAATATTGACGAAGAAGTGATCTTAACTGATTAACAGCTGTCTTAAAACTTCGGAGTATTGAAAATAATAAGAGCTTCAGACTAAACTGTTGTTTTACATGTGTTTATTTCATTTAATTAAACGAAAGAGAGTGGAATTAGTTACAGATATCACATGGAAGCTTAACTTAAGTTACAGTGCTATGGATTCTTCGCAGGGCTGCAATTAAATTACCTTGTTCTCTTCAACATAAACTATATTTGTGAAGAAAGAAAAAATCGACAAGAGTAACTACAATTTATTTGCTTTTTGGCTCATCGAACTGTATCAAATTTTTTTTATCTATTGGGTTTCCGAGGGGAAAAACACCCTTTTTAAACAGTTTTATTAGAATTTCTGATTGTTAACAAATCTTCCTTCAAGTCTTTAAGAATTATATCTCAAAGACCTGTATAAAATGTCATGAAGATTGGTTGAGTAATTCTCGAGAAATCTTGTCAATCATCTTCAAACACATAGTTTCGAGAAAACCCGCATTTAAAGACGACTAGCTAGCCTCGAGCGCACAAGTTCTCAAGGATGTATCTCCGAAACTCCGAAACGATTTCTTGAACCCTTGTAACTCCTTAAAAGCAAATACTTTTATCGGTGTGCGTAGGAGTAACTACTAATATGGACGCTATTAAATGCGAACCTGTGTTAGATCGAACGATCCGCATTAGAATTCAAAAGGTTACTTATTTCCACGCATAAATGAGAAGGAAGTAAGAACAGGAGAATAAGAATAATAAGACAAATTACCACTAATATTAATAAAATTTAATTCTTTTAATCATGATAACGCTCTTATTGGGCGACCCATTATTTGAACAATGTATGCATGGTATCAGTGTTACATGAAGTTCGTTTGCTGGATACGAGACGATGACTTGTCTAACAGTCAGCTGGGGGAACTTACAGTCAAATTGACGTTTTGCCAATGCCATAAGTGGAAGATGCAAATATGCAATCGAATTTATTAATATACATTTATGCCACACAAATGTACATACGCATGTGGAATGTGCCAGCCTTTTGTGGTGGTTTTGAGTATTTCGTATGGATTTCGTTTGCGGCACGCCGATCTCCTTGCAACAAAGCAATGAATATAATATTTATTTAATTGTAGGTATCTACTGCTGCATGGGTATGCTTTGAAGGAGATAAAGCAGCTGGTTGCAAATGGAAATATGTGGACTATTTAAGGTATTGGAGTATTACGAGTATATAAATAAGTCAATATCATCACAATTACATATTCTTCTACCTATGTACATATATACCATACATACCTATATGGAGAAATAGAGCATTTATGCGGTTGACAGCTGGTAATTAACGGATACTAGAGTGTAATAATATGACGCATGTCAATCAATGCATACCATTCAAACTTAATGTCTGAAATCTCGATATTTTTGTACCGAAATTTCAAATACGTGACCTTCGATTATTGGGTTAACTCAAGAATTGGTAACCAAATTCAATTTTATACTTATCAGATAGGCTGAAAAGTTCATATCGGTTGTTTGAAGGAAACCTCCTGGTTTTGCCGCAGCTGTTGGTCAGAAAAGTTACTGTTAATGACAACAAAAATTATGACTGCTTTGGTGTTCGTTGAATTATATGGCCTGTAGCGTGCCATTGCAACCATAGTACATATCATTTATGACAATACAGACATATAGTATTGTGTCGTGTCAGACCGAATTGCTTATCCAACCACTGTATTTTCCGAATTTGAGCCCTAATGATTTTGAGGCAAAAAAACTCGTATTAGGAAAATATTGTCAAAATTATGATTTTTTACTCGCTTAAAGAGCTTTTTATATATACATACATAATTTCTCTCATATTCATTCCCGAGGTATGTATTTGCGTTTCGAAATGTCCCAAAATAATTTTTACTTCAGTCATATGCATTATTTCTACATTCATAAATGTTTTTGGCGCCGCCTTTACTGAAATTTTCGCTTTTAAAATATATTTTTATTTTACAAACAATCAAAAAACGTCACCTAAACGAAGAGCCTCAAGAGTTGCACATAATTTTGGTGCCTTCGGATATGAACGCTTACATAAAAATGGCAAATGTGTCAGTATTGTGTTGAAGCAATTACGAAAAGGAACAAAGAAAGGTTCGAAAATTGCTATTTATTTTTCCGGTGAGTCATACCAAGTCAAACCATGAAATATACTAATTGTCTCGCCGATAATATGGATAACACATTGTTTATCTATATTTGGTATTAGTAATTCAGAGCAAAGTAAAATTTACTCGGCACTCCCCCATACTTCTGTTATATTTGCATATACCTATGCATATATGTAATAGTACATACGTTTATATAATAGGGTGGTCTTTAGAAGAATTAAAGAGTCGCCATCGATTTGACCAATGTCCAAGGTATTGACGCCTAAACCAATTTTTATACTTCCCTGTACTAGGTCTAGTAACAGAAGGAATCCACTCCTACATTAAATTGCAGATTCTATTTAGCATAATTCCAATAATGCGATTAATGAAAATATTCAGCGGGAAAGGAAATTTCATAATGCAAAAAGTGTTGCATTCGATTTTCACACGCTTCTCTTGAGGCCACTTTTCACAACCAAAATCAATCGCAAAAAACAGGAATAGATAGTTATCACTTGGTGTGAGGTTCGAAAGAGGTATAAGGTGGATGCATAAGAATTTCCCTACCAAGCTTTGGACGAGTCACTATCGATGTGAGTGTTTTAGCGTTGTCCTGATGGAACACAATTCCTCTCCTACCCAAAGCTAGATACTTCTGAGCGATGGTTTCCATTTTTAAAACATTTTTAAAACATTTTTTTATTATTTATTTATCTTATTTTAAATAGAAATACATTTTCCTTTCACATCCTTATATTACCGCCTTTTGAAAAAGAAAGAAGGATTTTCAAAGAACCGGTTTACTGTATTTCAAACAAGTATTTACCGTGAGATATCTTAGCAAAATTGAATGTACATATGTATAATCAGGGATTTCTCAAAAAATTAAGCTAGAATCGTTTATTATTATGAGATCCGGGAGTAAAAATTAGTTATATTCGTCCATACCTTCACCCAGTTAAATTTGGAGAATATTGGGAAGGGGCATAACTCAAACAAAAAATGTGAACATGTAGAGAATTCAAAATGAGTAAATAGAAAATATTCCTATTAAAAATTTAAGATCTTTTTTCAATAAGGTATATCACTCATAAAGTGGTAAGTTAATGGAATTCATATTGTCAAATAATGCAAAAATTTGAACGCACAAATCGACAAAAAAATTACTTACTTCGAATTGTTTCGAATCCTTAGAATATTCAGACCTTCAAGTTATTTTCCAGGATAAATAATATGTATTCAAACATTATGACTGTTTTTTTGTATTAATTATATACCTATTATAATTATATACCTATTATAATTAATTAATTAATTATATACTTATTTTCACTACGTACCTTTGTAGATCCAGCAGCTATTTCTTCATTTATGCGTACATATATATACTTGTACTACTTTCAATTAGATCGGTCTGTGAGTGATTCACTTGAAGTATTGACATAGTATAATAAATATGTATGTATATTTTTGGCAATTTTATCTTTATATGTTTTTACAATATTTAATATTTGCAATTTTGTGACACTTTAATAAATAATTTTGTATATTTAATGCACATATTTATTTGTATGCATGTGTATATATTTCTTTATATTTATATCGACACTCACACATGCAACCAAATCATAAATTTTCAATTTTCTCACTTGCCACCAACTTGCGCTGAAATAAATTAGACCAAAATATATTTTTATATTGTAAATTAAACGTAACTTGCCAAGAAATTAATATTGTTTCTCTCGCACACAATCTTTTTATTCGTATTCACTTTCATCTGAGTTTTTCGCCAAAACTTTTGCGTCTGCGAAATGAAATCGTGTAACCGACGAAATGTTAATTTTTCACATGTGTCCAAAAACAACAACCAAACACACGCACACTCACGCATATGTAAAATATAAACATTTAAAAAAAATTTGAAGCAAAGACAATAAACACATGGCAAAGAGATTAGTCCAACGTGGAGGCAAACTGAGCATAAAAACGGAAAAGTGCACACAAAATTAGGCGATTAAAATTGCTGTCACGTTTCTGCGAAGACATTAAAAGTCTAAAAGTGGAAAATAACCAAAGTGGTGGCGCAACGGGGGCTGTTGTCGCACACTGGAAGGCACACGCACTCTTACTGGTCATACTGAGTAGTTAGTTAGCCAAATTTGCTGAAGACTCACGCTTTTATTTGAATTTTTAATTTTGAACTTTTCATATTTTTTTTATTTTTGCATTCTTTTATATTTTTGAACTTTATTGTTATTGTGCTTTTATTTTTAGTCATGATAACGTGTCTATTTCATATTAGCGGTTTATCTATGTACAAATTACCAGTATTTGAAGTCATTTAGCTGAAAATTTATATTAGACACACTTATACATGAATTTGATTAAGAATAACGGGGTGCGGAAGCCGAGAAGCAAGCTTTATTAATTTCACTTTATTTGCTCGCTAAACGAAATTTTTGTGCACAGTATGTGAAACGGGCTGGGGAAAATTGGAACCGCAAACAGTGATAAAGGCGGCGCATGTCACGATTAGAGGCCTTCGCAGACAAATCGTTAGCATTTCTCACCGGTTTGTTGTTAGCCTTTTCACTTTTGATTATTAATGGATTGCTTTCTTTGTCATTTTGCACGTCGGCAGACGGAAGAAGGTGCATAAATCTTCAGGCAATTCCAAATTTACAATTCTAGATATTGGATATAAATCTTTATGTGAAACTTCCAGTGACGCAATAAAAAATGGTGGCAACTACGTTTGAAATTTCTTTTGTAAAAAAACACTAAAAAAAATTCAGTAGCAATAACGCATAATATGATTCTGAGTAACGTGAATAACGCATAATATGATATGAGGCGGGGTTTTGAGTTAATGATGATTTCTAAACAAGAAAAGTTGTTTCTGTTTGAATGGCGATCTAAAAAATTTGTTCGCAGGTTGGTGTGGGAGAGAAAAGGACGTTTGGGAGTCTATTAATTAGAATGTACAGTAAATAAAAAAAGCAATAATGCAAAAATGAAAACGAATCTTAACATTTTAAAGAGCCTCCAACATTTGTAAATTCTCATTGAAGTTTTTGAGATTCATCTTTACCTTATCACCCAACACCTAAATAGCAAATATAATAGTCGTCGTTATATTAATTGACTTCAGAACATAATTTAGTTTAATACCAAAGTTAAGTGTAACCAGTCCAGACCTTCCCCTGTCCCAAATGTACGTAATATACTGATTTTCCACACTCCGATTGGATTTGTACCGTATTTATCAATATGTGAGATATTTGACTAACTGAAAAATATATCCCGCAAACTTGCTTTCACATATCTATTATTATTATTATTTATTATTATTTGGTAGAATGAAAATTTTCTGTTTATTATAGGAAAAAGCGAAAAATAAAATGATAATAACTTTACTAAATTTAAGAAAACACATTTACAATTCATTTAAAACGGAAAATTTTTTACTATTTTCTTTCTTAAACAAAAAGTGTGCAAACAAGTAGTGAATTGAGGAGGAGTAAAAATGTCATGCAGTCGTAAGACTCAATGGAATTCATATCGTCAAATAATGAACACAATTTAACCCACAATTCAACGAAAAAATTACAAACGAAGTAATTTTTCCGGATCTGATCCCAGCGTCATTTTCTATCACAACAATTCAAGAAAAACTTTTTACAATGAAATTAACAAATAATGAAGAGACAACAACTGAGTTCGTGGCATATTTCAAAAGAAGTTTTACAAAAATTATATTGAAAAGTTAAAAGACCGGTGTATCGTCATCGATATCTAGAATAATAATTTTTTGTTATCCTTGATTAAGGGGTTCATAGAAAATGTTCCCAGCCTAGGGTGGAATCAGTTTTCTAAAGAGGTTTCATAACAAATGTTTTGATTATAATATAAACCATAAATAATTAGAAGAAAGCGTGCCTGAGTAAATAGAGTTACAGTGTGAACTGGCCTTAAAATTAGCTAAAAATTTGTAATTTTTGTTAAAAAAAATTAAACTTGTTTGACGTCATTCGATATTTTTGCATAAACGTGTATGCACTTAATTCCTTAAATTATTGTTTTTATTGTTAATGGTTATTGCTATTGCCAATTTACCATTTCAGAATTAAAGTGCAACGCTATATTAAAGAATTATGCAAAATATTGGTTCTTTTCTATTTCTCTCGCTAAAATATGTAAATATACAAACGGGCATGAAATTCAAAAATTTCGCAAAAAAGAAATAACAAAAAATTTTTAGTGAATATAATAAAAAAAACAAAGAGCAAAAATGTATAAGTATGCCTTATATATTTAGCTATGCTGAAGTATACATAAGTATTAGGGTGATTAAAAAAAAAAAAATTTCGTTTGGTACTCTGAAAAGTATGTAGGTTCCTAGACACCTCTAAGGAAGCCTCTCCAAGAATGAGTTCTTAATTGTAACGGGAAGGTCCTCCTACTTACATTTTTCCATTTTTTCTTATTATCATATAGAAAACTTTATAACTCGCTTCCAACTACTTGAAAAAATATCTTGTTCCTTAGATTTTGTAGGAAATTAAATGCTCTACAAAAAAGGTTTGTACGATTTTTTCGTAAACCCAACCGTTTAAAAGATATTACCAGTTAAAGTTTGATTATTTTAGGGAAAATTTTTTATTTCTTATGAATTTTATAACTCAATGAACTAAAATATTATGTATGATGAAACTCATAGGTTTTTGAAGAGGCTTTCTGAGAGGTGCCTAGGAACTTATTTTTCAGAGTATCAAACGAAAAAAAACTTACATTTTTTTGAACCACCCTAATAAGTATATACATATTTATATTTTTTACAGATATTTTTTTCTTTAATTTTACTGTCTCTAATCGTTAATCGTTGCACTTGGCTGTGATATCAAAAAAATAATAATTTGTTTCGAGGAACAGCCAAACAAGAATAACTTTGCGATACTCTTATAAAAATTTATAGACTTGTACATAAGTACGTGTGGTGTGTTTGCACTTTTTCAAGCAAAATTTTTTTTCCCCTCCGCAACTTGTCAACAAAAGCAAATGCAGTCAGAAATTGTGCAAACAAGAACAAAAGCAAACAGGCCGAAACGGTGGTAGCACAAAATTATAAACAACAATTTAATAGAACTAAAACAAACAAAGAACGCAAAAGCAACAAAAAAAGTAATGGCCTTGTCTTGCTGGCTGGCAAAGCACCTGTTGAACGCGCTTGAAAAATGCAAGAAAATTTGCAAGGCACACAAAAAAGTACAACAACAACAAACGCACACACACACTTAGGAACTCGAGACAAAACTGCAGCAACTTGTTTAATTTATTTATATTTTTGTAACTTTTTATTGTTTTTGCAAAGCGAGAACCTAAAACAACACAATGGCACACAGCAACAACAATAAAGAAACTATATTTCAAAAAAGTCAAATGCAAAGAAACAAACATTATGTAAATTCCACTTCATTTATGCACTTTATACAGTTATGTAGGTGTGAGTGTGTGTGTGTGGGAGTTAAAGGCGCTTCGCTGCATTTTTTAATTTCATTCATTTATTTATTACAAACATACTATTATAAATATTACATATTTGCCTTTTATTTTTGCTCAATACATTTCACTTTCATTGCCAACAACAAATTTGGATTTTTTGTTCTCGGTTTCACTTTTATTCATTACACTTTTAACCGTTAACACAGTCGCGACGGCAAAATCACCGAAAAGGTCCCAATTCAAACACGCACAACCACTGTCGACGAACGACAAAACGCAACTGAATGCGGCGACACCAAGCAATGCGCGTCCAACAAGCATTTGGCCAGCCAAAGCACACACTCAAGCCCGTTTGGCAGTCAGTTCGTGGCTTACGTATTTGTATATGTGTGCATATCATATCAACACGCTCATCGGCACCCAGCACACCGCCGACGGTGCGTATGTGGACTGCGTTGTTGCATTGCGGTGTGCGTCGGCCTGTGCCACCCGAGGGGGCCCACCCTCACGGCTCACCACCACCACTACACGTACATTTCCGATGCCGACGCTTGGCATGCTTTGGTACGCTTTGTAGCCGGCAAAACTAGCGAATACCAAAGTCCGCACCCCACCAGTGCTCACTTCGTTGGTGCGGTGTGTGTTGAATTCACTCGAAGCGGCGTCGTTGCAATGCCAATTTCATTCATAAGTTTTCACTTTGTTTACAATTGTTGTTGTTGCTTTTTTTTCTTTAATTGCGCTTCTGTAGTAAAAGCTTCCTGCGCGCGCAAACCGTTTTCCGTTTGTACTGTGGTAGACTGTGTTGTAAGGTGGTGTAATAAAATCCTAAAAGCTCTGACTGAATTTCAGTGGATTTTTCCGATTTGTGAATGAGCTATATTTCGAATAATCGGAGGGGTGAGTGATACCGTTAAAACCAGTATGACGAAGTAATAAACAAAAATTGTTGAGACCGGTTAATGGTGGTCACGCGACTCTACTACACAAAGGACTTACATACATATGTATGTTGTAAGTCAGGGTCTGACATGGATAGGTAGGAGTTTACTCTATTGACAAATAAAACGCAAGGGTCAAACTTGTCGTCTACAATTGGTGCTGAATTGACATCTAGGTCGGCATCTGTCTGAAGGGAGGCGACGAGAGGTTTGTTTGTTAAAATAAAAATTAAAATTCCGAAGTTCAGTCAATCATATTTTCTCTGGTCATTGCAGGAATCTGGAGACGCTTCCGATTCTAGCCAGCAACACCCTAATTTGTATCAGTGGAAGAACCTGAGGTCACTTTTCGTGACCTTTAAACAAAAATTCCTGTGTGCCTAATAATCGGAGCAGATCGGGCTTTACGTATATCAATTTCCATAACAATTGGTTTTATGTTATCGGCATTATCCCGAATTATATCCGGTCAAGGGTTGTTACTTCGGCCATATAACCCGGTTTGAATCGGTAAGTAATATTAAAAGCTTATGCGTATTCACCACAGAATATAACATTCGTAGTATGACTAATATGGCTTAGTAAATACACTTCTAATTTTTAATAAAATCGAAATTTTATAACATATTTTTCTTCTAAGCCATTACTTAAATCACAAACAAAACGCACCAATAAATTCCTCAATGAAAAATACCCAAAAGCTAGGTGTAATGAACTTAAGCAACTCTGGTGAGCGAACACAGAAAATGTGGAACAAAACAAAACATGGGAAACAGCTGTCAACAAAAGAGAAGAAACAAGTGCCAAAAAATTTTCAATTGATAAGGGCAGCAGTATTTCAGTTATTGCATTTTAATTTCTGCTGAAGAATGCTTGCGGACGTGGATGTATTCATATCCAACTATACATTAGTGGACCCAGAAATATACCAATTATGGATAGAGGGCTTTTCGTGTAAGTATCCAATGAAATAACTTGTATAAGTGATTGCACTCCCTTGTGTTCCCATTTTAGCGAGCGAAGCCGTCTGCTACTTGAAACAGAAGGGATTCGGCAGCAGTTTTGGCGCACCAATTGATCTTATCGCCTCCGAAGTGCTCGACCATTATCGGACCTACTCTCTGATAGAGCGTTTGCTTCATGCACCAACTAAATTGTTGGAACAATCGTGTTTTCAGTTGGAGCCACAAACGCGAGATTTTATTATTGAAAAGTAAGCAATAGTTTTAGCAATATATTTTTTTATTAATTTTGCAACAATTTCAGGTATTACTCCATCGATGACTTAGTTGCACGTGAAATTCTAGGCAAGAAATTGTCAAGTCGTTATAGGAAAGATCTGGATGAAGTGTCGGAAAAGACTTGCGTTAAATTGAAGTCATGCAGGTTTGTTCCATATTTCGTTGCAAAGAGTTATATGCATTGATACAATAATTTTAATTGCAGACGACAATTTGATAACGTTAAACGTATTTTTAAAGCTGTGGAGGAATTACCAGGCAATATCACAAACAATATTAAACAACTATTTTCCGTGTCCGATGAGTTGGCAAAGTGAGTAATCGCCAAAAAACATTAAATATATMAAAATTTATATATTGACGAAAGCGCAATTACTTAAAAATATTTATTCTTCTCAATCTCGTATTATTCAGAAAATACGCTTCAATTGTTTTTCTTGCCTGTCTCCGTTTTGAAACTTCCAAAAAGAAGCTGCAATTCTTGGCCTTCTCCGACTTGTTTGCTTGCTCACAAGCTATTATGATCTACTGGACCTATACCTATCAACACTCAGGCCCCGAATATTACGATACCGAAATGGACAAAGAATTTCTGTTGGATTTGCGTGAGTTGCGTTGCTTGCTCGACAAGGAGAAGGAAATTAAACAGTGAGTACTTCATAAGTGGCAAATTATAAACTGTATTGATTAGTGTATTTTTTAATTTACAGTCTTGTTTGCCTGCGATTGAAGCCAGTGCTGTTGGAACGTGCTTACTTCGAGCTGGATACGAATTTCCGGTAACTATTAGCTATTAAAAATATAATGTTCAAAATTGACGTTTTTAACCGCGAAAACTTAATTGTAGCTCCTATTGGCGTGCATTTATTACCATTGCTTGTAATTTGCATCGAAATCGTGAATTACGTGACTTGTTTTTGGATTTGTGTGAAAAATTGATAGAACCGTGGCGTCAAAGTGGTTGGAGTAAAGAGCAAGTAAATAAATTTGTGTCAGCCATAACACAAAGCGTGTTGGATTTAGAAATTTCGCGGTGAGTTACAAGCTCGAGAAAAGCATTAATTATAAAATGAATTAATCACTTCTATCATTTGCAGAGATCAAGAGACGCGTTGTCTGTGGGATCGTTACATGCAGGTCATTAGTATTTGTTTGGATCACATGTTTCATATTTAGTGAAAATATTACGCAGCATTTATATGTTATTTAAAATATTTTGTCCTTTTTGTTTTCCTATACAAAAAAGTTCGTTTGCCATTGCTTGCTCAAGTTATATGCATTGAGCTAAAAAGCGCAATTTACCCGTTTTACAAAATTAAGCGCAGCATCATGACATTTATAAAATTGTATTTTAATTTATTAAAAACACTTAATATTTAAAATAAAATCAAACATAACGTACATGTGAATGTATTAATGAATATGGGAATTTTATTATATGCTTATTGAAGACTAAAAATAGTCCAAAAAATAATGATAAACAATTTTGTTTGTATATTTTATTATTTTCATTATGTATAAATTAACATTTAACTGGTTGTATGAATGTATCTCATATCTTTATAATTTTGTGAAATTTATTCTCAAAAAATAGTTTTGGAACTTTAAAAACTCATGTATTTTAGTTTCAGGTTTTGAAAACTATTATTATTCTTTCAAAATGTAATTTCATTAACTGTATAATAAAATTCTTTGATACACTTACAGGCATATAATATTAATAATAATCTAAAACTGCCCTTTAAATATTTATATTTAATTTATTTTGTTTAAATATAACCCATTTAATAAAGGCATACTATTTATTTATTTTTACACATACGGAAAAAAATATTGTATTACGAGTAATATATTGTTAAATGTGTTTTGTTAATATTTAATTTTTTCTATTTATTTAAACTCATTTCATTTTTATTTACTTATTTTTTGAATTTTACCTTGTATTACCTATTACTGTTATAAAAGAACTATATTTTTTTTGGAATTAACAAACTTAACTTAAAATAACTTTTGCATTTTTTCGTATAATTTAGGGTAGATATTTAATTAAATAAAATATTTTCTCCACCGGTTGATTAACAAATGTTAAATTTCCCGCTTCTAAAAGCTCTTCCGCAATCACTTACCTAGTAGTGTGCAAAACCCTTTAATGTATGTCAAGCGCTGATTCCAGCGAGTGTAGAGCTTTCGCACAAATCAATGATTACTAGTTTATGGGTTGTCATGGTTGTAAACAAAGCAGGGGGTGAAAGGCGACCAACTTAATCACAATGCAAATGCATAGACACAGCCTTGCTGCCACCCTCCGCTACATGTCCTCCAGCTGCTTGCGCTTTGCAAAAGTTCAAAGCTGTCGTTTCCATTTGTCAAATGTATTTTTCCATTACTCGTAATGACTGAAACTGTGTGCTCTGCTGTGTTGAGTTTTTTTTCGCAAATTGTATACTAATAAGTCAGTAGAGGCGATAAAAAATAAAATCCTTAGTGAAAATATTTAATAAGAGCAAAGAGTCACCCATATATTTCTTAAAAGGTTTATCAAAACTTATACTTTTGTCCTGAACCCGTTGAATATAAGTGTATAAGAATTATAGCGATTACAAAAAGGCAAGGAGACGCTACAAGTGGGCGCAGTGTGTGGCATAATTGAACCATATGGTAGTGGTTTTGTTTTTATAAGCAAAGAAGCCGGAAAAATTACGGACTATCAGGACAATATACTTGTGGTCGAATAAATTGTGAACACAAACAAGAAAGTCATTGTCTAGTTCTTTTACATCCAAAATTAGTGTATACAGCGCCGCAATGGATGAGGTGGACGATGAGACTTTCGATGATGCCAAGTCGGCGCGCACTTCGGATGAGAATCGCAAGTAAGGATGAATCAAATATTAGTGATAATAAAAATATACATACATACATATGTTATCATTTGTTTATCGAGCGACAATTATTGTATCTATTTACAGGCAAAACCACAGCGAAATTGAAAAGAGGCGTCGTGACAAAATGAACACCTACATAAATGAGCTCTCATCTATGATACCGATGTGCTATGTGGTGCCACGGAAATTAGATAAGCTGACCGTACTTAAATATACAGGTTGTATATAAGATAGTAGACTATCTATACAAAATGTTAAAATTTTTGTTTCACAGTGCAACACCTGCGCAGCATACGCGGTAGCGTGCATCCCTACAGTGGTGGTGATTACAAGCCATCGTTTCTCTCTGATCAGGAGCTTAAAATGTTGATACTGCAGGCATCTGAGGGCTTTCTTTTTGTGGTGGATTGTGATCGTGGACGCATTTTATATGTTTCGGAGTCGGTGTCACAAGTGTTGAATTGCTCGCAAATGGATCTGCTAGGGCAGAGTTGGTTTGACATATTACATCCGAAGGATGTGGCCAAAGTCAAAGAACAGTTATCTTCCTTGGATCCTTGTCCGCGGGATCGGCTGATTGATGCAAAAAGTACGGAAGCCCATCCACTTATAATTAAAATAAAAAATATTTATTTTTTCAGCTATGCTACCCGTCAAAACCGACATTCCACAGAGTCTATGTCGTCTCTGTCCGGGTGCGCGTCGCTCATTCTTCTGTCGCATGAAACTCAAATCTAACAATAATCAAATTAAAGAGGAATCCGACACATCCTCCAGTTCTCGCAGCTCCACAAAGCGAAAGTCCAAACTGAGCGTCGACCACAAATATCGTGTTATACAATGTACCGGTTATTTGAAGTCATGGACACCGATTAAAAACGAAGAACAAGATAGCGAAAGTGAAGATAATCTGACGAATCACTCCAGTTTGGTGGCTATTGGCAGAATACCGCCGAATGTTTTAGAATCCAATGTGCCCCCATCTTTGGACAACCATCCCAATATAAGGCATGTGCTATTCATCTCAAGACATTCCGTAGATGGTAAATTCCTATTCATAGATCAAAGGTATGTATGTATGTGTTTTAAAGAGTCGGTTTATCATTTACTTTACACATTTTCCAAAATTGTTCATTAGAGCGACATTGGTCATTGGTTTCTTGCCGCAGGAAATGCTTGGCACCAGCTTTTACGACTATTTCCATCATGAAGATATCCCCGCTTTGGCCGAGTCACATAAAATGGTCATACAGGTGCCGGAGAAGGTGACAACGCAAGTATATCGTTTTCGTTGCAAGGATAATACTTTCATTCAACTGCAAAGCGAATGGAAGGCATTCAAAAATCCATGGACCACTGATATTGAGTATATTATAGCGAAAAATACAGTTTTCCTTTGAATTCGCAATCATCAGATTTTTACATACATACATACATGCATACAAACAAATGAGTACGCGCGAGTGTAGGCGAGTTCATACCACTCAATATACATTAACTTGTGTTAGTCGCATTTGTTTTCATAAATTTATGTAGCAATAATGTTTATGTGAACATTTTACTTACATACGGAAAAAATAGCAAATGTTTTTAAGGAGATTCACAAATACATATTCATCAATACACATTTTTTGTGTATAAAAAACCCCATTTTGGTTATTTTTATTGCTGTTTTAGCGATTGTTTATGTCGCTATTTGGGGAAAAGGTTGTTAATGAGTTTATTTAACGGTAGCTCCTTCATAGATGAGTGATTTCCCCGAAAAAACCCTACAAATCGCAAAACTTTTGTCCTACAGGCAACTCTGTCAAATATTGAAAAAAATGACATTTGGACAGCGCTCTTTCGAATCAAAGAGATTCACATTACCCAGGTTCGTTTCATAACTGCTATCAGCTGTAAGAAGAAGAACAAAATGTAAGGATGAAAAATAAAATTAACGGAAAACTAGCAAGAAAATATCAAAAAGCTCCTTAACAATGTTAGAAAAAACTAACAGCTCTCTCAGTTATTTATGGTCTTTTGCTTTCTACTATTTTTGTGGGGTAAGAAACACGTTTCCAGCAAAAGCTTAGCTAGCTAGTGATATTTAGCAATTGAGAAACAAGCCATTATTACACGGTTTAAATTTTGACACCGCACTGAGGCAAACATAGGATAGGTCAGAAGAAACGCTTCTCTGGCATTTAATATTTTGATATACATATTTATCTCAACTCATACGGTAAATTTACACAGATATGAAAAATTTGTAATAAAAATATTAACAGCTGATTTTCGAAGTCCAACATTTTGTTCCGCTTCGCTTTGCTTCGCCTGGAATTTTTTTGTGCGTACAAGGAATTTATCTGGCCTAACAAAAGTGTGAAGCAAAGCGAAGCGAAAGTTATATTTACGATTGTTAAAGGTAAATAAAACTACAATAAAAATAGTTCTGATATACTATACCGTTTAATAATTTTCAGAGAAAATAATGGAGGTGAAGTTGATTAAGGCCATTAAAAGGCATCCGTGCCTTTTTGATAGAAGTTCAACAGACTTTCGTAACCAATATTTGAAGGAGGAAGCATGGGTTGCAGCTGCGATTTCAACGGGAGCCTCAGGTTAGTATTTGTTATTTTGAAATGCCAGTACAACGATTATTTCCTAATTGTTTCCTTCCTTTAATAGTGGAACAGTGTAAACAACGCTGGAAGTCCCTACGCGACAGATTTGTTCGAGAGGTGGTGTCGCAGCAATCGAAGCCAGAGTCTGCAGCGAAAGAGAAGAATGGGTGGTGCTACTTTGAGTTATTGAGTTTCTTAACAAAACATGTAAATCCTAGAAAGTAAGTAATACGTATATTTGTAATTCAACTTTTAATATGATAATGATATTTAACTATTATTTGTAGAATGAAACCAAAAAGACAATCGAGCATCGATGACCAGTCAATTTCCAGTTATTCACCTGCAACAACACAGAGCGACTCATGTCGAACAACCGATTGCGAATGGATAGAATTGCAACAGGATAGATGTGATCCAAATGATAGCCAAAGCAGCTTGGAGACACATAATTCCAAAAAATCGCGAAAACCTCGGCTTTTTTGCGAAGAGGCGTACGAACTTTGTTGTCAACCTGCTAAGCAAAAGCCCAAGAATGAGGCATTTTTAGTCATGTTGGACGAACTTCTGCAGAAGAAACAGGAAAGCAAGAATAATACACATGAAAGTTTCAATCATCTTTGTGGGACTCTTGAGATGGTGTTCTCTGCTAAGAAAGAGTCCAAAAATAAAGCGTTTTTAGCGATGTTGGACGAACTTCTGCAGAAAAAACCAGAGGAAGTGCAGGAGAAGTTGAAAATGGAAGTTTTAAACCATGTACATAATTCTTAATATATTTTTAAATATTTCGATTAAGCAAAAATTATTTTTATCTGAAATATTAATACAACCGTACATAAATATGCATGTACCATAAGAAAATGAAAAATAGAAAAACACAGCACATACTGTACATATGGATATCTATAAATATAAAGTATTAAATTTTATAAATTTAAAGAAAAAATGAAATTTGTTTATTCTAAATTTGGTGACTGCAAAACCCCAAATATTCTGAAACACCAAAGAAAAACATTCTTTATCTAGAAAATGCTGCTTTCGCGCTAAGTTATTGTTTTTCTAAATTACGGATACCCCAAAATATTACAATATTTTTACATCTCGGATCATAAGTGCATAGATACAAACTGTATGTACATTAGAATATGGAAAAACTCTCATCAAACGGGTTAAGTGGAACTTGAGAAATCACGACAAACTCTTTGAAACAAGAGATAAATCCTCTGCAGAATATATTTTTGAAAGGTTAAGCTTTGAAAATAAATAAAAATATCGAGTTATTAGAAAATTTACAGTAGAATACCTCTTAATAGTATCACTTGGATCGATTTAAATTTTAAAAATTTATATGTAAGCTCAGTTTACCAAATCGCTTGAGATGACAAAAAAAAAAAAAAAAAAAAAAAAAGAAAAAAAAAGAAAAAAAAAAAAAAAACAGAGAAAATGGTATAGAGTCAAAGCGTTGATTTTGATTTTATCCCTATTTGTCACATCAAGCAATGCGGGGAAAATCAATTATTTTCAAAATTGAAGGGAATCAAATAGCTCGGATTTCTCAGT